CAATTCCTTTCCTCCTGTGGTGTTAATTTTCATCTAGAGTAATTGCCCTTTACAGACAGCTGATGTTCACATACTTTCATCGATATCCATTCACTGTGGATGTAAATGCTCATGGCTCAGTTCTCTAGACAGTGAAGAGCAAAGACTACACACACACACACACACACACACACACACACACACACACACACACACACACACACACACACACACACACACACACACACATACATTTACATAAAAAATAGCTTACATTTTCTGTTGTTTTTTGTGATTGTCTTGGTTTTATTTTATGATGCCTCAAAGCAGTGTCCTCATTTTTTATTGCATATTATATAATTCCTAAATACATATAATACCTCAAAGTCAGAGTAAAGTGTTGGGCATTATGCATTGGATTCAAAGTACATACATCTCCCCACCATGCCTCAGGGTACCATGACTACATAGAGGTAATAACCACCAATGCTCCATTTTCAAAAATAAAAACCTGAATCATTTTCTTGTGTTGTCACCAGAATCCTTTTGGTTGCTTTCGACAATCCTGCTGCCTCAGCTTATTTAGGAGTGACTTAAAGTTCCATGTAATGTTCACTTGTATGAAATACACATAGCAACTATCAGCACACAGTACACCTCTATTAAAACCAACATTTTTATTTCCAGCTGATTTCCCCCAATTTACCGTAATCTGAAATCAGTGAGCATGAGAGGAAGCAAGTCATCGAGAGTGCAGTGAACAAAAAACGCAAAAAGAATGAGAACCGGGTTTATAGACAGGAGCAGGTTGATATTAAAGATACAGAGGTGACAAACTGACTGCAAGGAAAGGGAAGAGGGGGAGTGAGGGGAGGGTGAATGTGGAAGAGAGAGGCATTTGTTACCTGGTTGTAAACCGCTGTGCTGCACATAAATCCCATTACTTTGGGAAGAGCCCTGGCTGATCCCACCGTTACCGTCACCCACACATCCCCTGGAAATTGAAGCTATAATTTTTCAAATCCTCAGCCCCCCCCCCCATC